TCCAGTGGTGAGGATTTTTGTTTTCTTTACATTGAGATGTAATCCATACCAAAGGCTGTGCTCTTTGATCTTCATCAGTAAATGTTTTAAGTCCTCTTAATTTTCAGCAAAGTTGTATCATCTGCATATCACAGGTTGTTAATGCATCTTCCTCCAATCCTGATGCCGCGTTTTTCTTTATATAAGCCAGTTTCTCAAATTATTTGCTCAGCATACAGATTGAATAAGTATGGTCAAAGAATACAACCCTGTCTCACACCTTTCTTAATGTTAAATCATTCGGTGTTCCCATGTTCTGTTTGAGCAACTGCCTCTTGGTCGGCGTACAAATTCCTCATGAGCATAATGAAGTGTTCCGGAATATTCATACTTTGCAATGTTGTCCATAGCTTGTCATGATCCACACAATCTAAAGCCTATGCGTAGTCAATAAAGCACAGGTAAACATCTTTCTGATATTCTCTGCTTTCAGCCAAGATCCATCGGACATCAACAATGATACCCCTCATTCCACGGCCTCTTCTGAATCAGCTTGAATCTCTGGAAGTTCTCTGTCAATGTATGCTTGCAGCCATTTCTATATTACCTTCAGTAAAACTTTACTCACGTGGGATATCAAAGAGATTGTCCAATGATTTCCACATTCTGTTGGGTTACCTCTCTTTGAAATGGGCACAAATACTGATCTCTTCCAATCAGTTGGCCAGATAGTTGTCTTCCAAATTTCTTGGCATAGGTGAGTGAGTGCCTCCTGTGCTGCCTCACTTTCTTGAAAGATTTCAATTTTTATCTCATCAATTTCCGGTGCCTTGTTTTTTGCCAATTCCTTCATTGTACCTTGGACTTCCTCCTTCAGTATCATTGCCTCTTGATCATATGCTACCTCTTGAAACAGTTGAACATTAACCATTTCCTTTTGGTACAGTGACCCTGTGTATTTCTTCCATCTTCTCTTGATGCTTTCTGCATCATTTGCCCAGAGAATCCTTCAATAACGAAAGTCAAGGCTTAAATTTTTTCTGCAATTCCCCCTGCTTGAAAAATGCTGACCGTCTTCTTCCTTTTTGGTTTTCTGATTCCAGATCTTTGCACATTTTGTTGTAATATTTGGCTTTATCTTCTTGAGCTGATCTTTGAAATTTTCTGTTC